GCTATTCAAGAGATGATTTCTAAGTGTAATACTTGTGCAAAGGTGAGACAAGACCAAAAAGAACCACTCATGTCAAGTTCTTTCCCTTCTCGCCCATGGGAACGGATTGGTATGGATCGCTTCGACTTTCAAGGGAAAATCTATCTTCTTGTTGTTGACTACTATTCTCGTTGGTTGGAGATTAAAAGACTTCACAGTCAGACGTCTGACTACGTGATCAATATCCTCAAGGAACTATTTGCCAGTCATGGGATTCCAGAGATCGTTATTTCGGACAATGGTCCTCAGTACGCATCCGAAGCCTTCAGGCGGTTTGCGAAAACCTATGGCTTCATTCATTCCACAAGTTCACCTAGGTATCCTCAAGCGAATGGCGAAGCCGAGCGGGCAGTGAGTACTGCAAAGGAGATTTTGAAGAAGAACCACGACCCTTATCTTGCCCTTCTATCGTATCACTCGACACCCCTACAGAATGGTTTGTCGCCAAGCCAGCTCCTTATGGGTCGCCGACTAAAGACACAGCTACCCGTTCTCCCAGCTACACTGAAACCGAAGGACCTTACTTTTGAGTTGGAGAGGGTGGTATCCAAGGAAAAGTCCTACCGTAGAGCACAAGAAACCAATTTCAACCGTAGGCATAGGGCAAGAGAACTGCCCACCTTTGACTCTGGAGATGCAGTATGGGCCAAGGATCAAAGTAAGCAAGGTGAGATCCTTTCTTCCACTCAGTATCCCAGATCCTACCTTGTGAAGACTGACAAGGGAATTCTTAGGCGTAATCGATCTGCCTTAGTCTCCATTACCGAAGGGAGTCAAGAAACGGAACCTACCCGCCCAGAACAAACTGTTGATACCCCCACTACCCAGCAACCTGTACCACCACGGACGCCACCACTCCTGCTGCGCCGACATCTGGGGCTCAATCCATTCAGTATACCACCACCCGTTCTGGTAGAGTTGTCCGACCTCCCCAGCGATTGGATTTGTGAAGCTGATGGATGACGATAAGTAGAACATTGAATAATTAACATTCGCAATTTAGGACTTTAGTTTAATTAAATTAGTGAGGTATATTATTGACTTTCTTAGGATGTTATAAATTATAGTTTATTTAAAAATTGGAACATTGAACTCTAGTGGGTAAGCAAATTAGTTGCATAAGATATTGTTGAAGTATGACAATTGTATACTTGGGGGAAGGTGTAGAGTGACGACCCCAACGCATGTTGGGGCATGTATAAAAGAGTGTTCCGCCATCTTGTATTTAGTTTAGACAAATATATTTTGTATCTTACACTGGGCTCGTTTATCTTCTGTTTCGGCACGTTACTACAGTGCATGCAACAAATATGAGTCTTACAATCATTTTACCACTTTTTTGTACAACACTTTGTCTTGCAATGATTTTTGCACAAACAATATTTTACTTGAATGGGCAATTTCTCCAAAAGTCAACAGGCTCATCTAGGGAGATTCTTGAAGCAAGTAATTAATATTATAGCATGTATATATACTATATAGTTCAAAACACAGAGCCTGAAATAACAGTTGGCCATCAGACATTTTTCAACCAAATTATAGTTTGTCCGACAAAGTGCAAATCGGTTGGCCATACGTTCGGACAAAAAATAGAAATTGGTTTGCTGGTTTGCATATAAGTTGCATCCAATTCATCCCGCAAAGAATACACAATTATGAAATAAAGTAAATGGCATAATCATAGACGGATTTTCATATTTTTTACTGGGGTGGTGCCAGAAATTTTAGGGGGCCACGAGCAGGTGACTGAAGCAACACAAAGTGTCACCAAAACCCAGTAAGGTCTATATTCTAGGGGTGGAGCACTAGAGCCGCCAGTGGGAGTCTAGAGAGCAGAAAACAAAGTATCCCTGGAAAAATGTGAAAAAAATCATGATTTCTATGTAGCTTCGAAAAAACGTTTTTTGAAGTTGTCATATCAATGGATTTGGCCTGTCCGATTGTCTGTGGAGACTTGAGTTAAATGAACCTGTAAAAGTGCACACCCAATAGGCCAATACACAATATGCTTTTACTTTTATAAAATCATTGACATTGTGTCGTTTGAATCCGAGTACAATTTATGATGCAACTCCGATGTAAATAATATTTGGGACATAAAGATTAAATCTAGGCAGGACTATTTCCTAAAAAAATTAAAAATAGGTACGCAGTGCGTACATGTTGCATGCCATCTGAAACTTATCATGCGCTAGAGCGCTTACATAAACCTTTGGTACAACTGGCGTGAAACTTAAAATATTGATCATTCAATAAGTTTAAAATATCAATATATTTATTGAAAAATAGCTATTATGTCAAAATAAGAAAACTTAGGATTCTCACGCGAATTAGCCTACGGTGTAGACCCCAGCAGAAACACGCGAATAGGCAATGTTTTTATAAGCGACTGTTAATAGTTAGTTGCAAGCGACGGTAATAACAATAACAAGGACAAGGTGGGTCAAGGTTTTATCAAATTTATAACTAAATAACGTTTTTTTTTAAATTTCCTAAAGGTATAATAAAACCGTGAAAACGGTGAATTACTATAATAGATTGAAAATGATTATTATTTATCATTTTGACGTTTGAGTGATTGAAATGAGTTAATTTACACTATAGTATATCGAATGTCATGTTGAATGTCATGTTGAATCTTATGCGTACTTCACAATGGTTGCTATTTCGTTGTATTAAATTTCAATAGTATACTATTTCTAATTCAAATTTTGTTTGATATTTATATATCATGTTATTTACAAAATGTGCTGTAGTTTTGAAGCTTTGCACACAATACAATCAGTGCGAGCACAATGGCCCCGTTTCAGTTTGAGTATATAAAAATATCGAGTATTTTGATAGCGTTCGCGGCTTTGAGGCTTTCACGATATATAAATGAGTTTATCTATTGGTCGAGTGTCGAGTGTCGAGGGTTAAATGTCGAGGGCGAGAGTAAAAAGTCGAGGGTGAGGGTAAAATGTCGAGGGTGAGGGTAAAAAGTCGAGGGTAAAAAGTCGAGGGTTAAAAGTCGAGGGTGAAAAGTCGAGGGTGAAAAAATCACAAAAAATACAATATTAAGGTCAGGTAACCGTTTTGGATAAGGTCATAACGACAGTATTGTTATATGAGCACTTCTAAACCAAATATAATCAAACCTGGCAATATGCGTTCCACGCACATATACTATACATACGACACGTGGCGTATTCTGCGTTTTAAATGTACTAATATGCCACAGCGTGGCTTTGCGTCCTGATGCATTTGCATGCAGCCGTGCAGACAGCAATACAATCAGTTATATATTATTTATTTTCTACACAAACTACAGTATATTACATACTAAGCAGGGCTCTTTAAAACAAAGCACCCTGCTTTAACCGGCAATAAATAAACCGATAATGTAGGGGCAATTAATATCGCAACTTGATATAGCCTATATACAAGGTTCTTTGCCATTTTGGAGTATATATTGTATGCGCTTAATCGGCTAAATTATTCAATTCCGCAAAGCAGACGAGGTGTGAAACACAGGCATAAAACTCCGAGTACCTATACCGTTAAATTTTAAGATAGACAGAACTCTTTGTAAACAATCCCGCGTTCAAAATAATCGCGGGCCTCCAATTTTTATAACGCTTTCCAAATTTTCTTGAGTGCACACGAAACAATAGCTTAAAATAGAAGTTAAGTCACTTGTTATCATCATTGCCGGTCTCGATTTTGTATACCATTGTAATGTGTCCACAAGCAAATTCGTGTTTTAAACATGACTAATAAAATTGAAACTTGGTCAATTTTATGATTGTTATTAATTTAAAACTAACATGAACAGAAACAGCATCGACAATAACTAATTATATACAGCTAATTCAAAAAAGGTTGTCCTTCGAAAATCTCAAACCTTAAACTCTAAGGCTAAGCGCGCAAAGAGTGATGAGTAACTTCTATTTAGGGCTTTTGACCGGGGAAAATAACCCTAGTACACCTTGCGCGCTCAGTCTCAGAGTTTAAGGTTTGAGATTTTTGAAGGAAAACCTCCTGACATTTTCAGCGAAATTGAATGAGAAATATCAATCAAATAAATTTTAAGCCAAGAAAGCAGAATGCAAGATGCAAGTAAGGACTTTATATAGTCTTAGTATATGAGCCGTGATATCCGCTAAATATGTTTATTCGAGCCAGTGGATTGCGGCATGTCGGATATGTCAATAACCTGATCTGCCAATAAAGGCGAAAACATCGCCCAACGTGTGTGCGTCGAACGCATGCAGATAACAATACTGCCGAGAAGACACGTAGACGTCGCTATGGCCTTATCCGAAGCGGTTACCTGACCTTAATATTGAATTTGTATTTCTTTTTTACTTTTTTACCCTCGACTTTTTACCCTCACCCTCGACTTTTTACCCTCGCCCTCGACTTTTTACCCTCGCCCTCGACTTTTTACTCTCGCCCTCGACATTTAACCCTCGACACTCGACCAATAGATAAACTCTATATAAATATAACGAAGTGGCTATATGTACGGGCCCGTAAACAGACTTCGCCAGGCTATATTTACGGCACTCTCGTTCTTAGTCTCCATACGGCCTGTATTTATCGTTAAAGTCAAATTAAAACAAAAATAGCCCTAACCCCAATCCTTCCCCTAACCCTAACCTCTAACCCTAACCCCTAAAAAAATTAAAACTAGTCAGAAAAAAAGTTAAACATGTTTTGTTATTGGCGAACAAAATACCGTCACAAACTCGGATTCGAACCCGCGGACTACAACACAGCAGCCATTTGCCTAACCTTCTGAGCTATTTACGATCGAGTGGTCGCAATTCAAAAGAAACACGCGAAATATTTCGCATTTCGCCGACGAAATAGTATTTCCTCGGAAGGTACTTACCTGAAGGGGAGATATGGTTCTCCGAACTCCTTCGAAGACTGATACGAGCAATACTGGTGCAGTTCGCGGCGCGCGACGGCTTGGAACCCACGATTTTAATTAATTCATACGCATGCGTACTGACATCCTCTGATTGAGTGGCAAGCTGAATGTTGATTAACAGACTAGGGTGGGGTGGTATAGGTATCTACCACCACTGGTACGGGGACCAGTATTGCTCGTATCAGTCTTCGAAGGAGTTCGGAGAACCATATCTCCCCTTCAGGTAAGTACCTTCCGAGGAAATACTATTTCTCCTTCACTCCTTCTCCGACTGATACTCACAATACTGGTGCAGATTTCAAAGACAACTGTTAATCAATGTAAACATAATTTATTTTTTTTTGAAATGAACACAAAACAATATCAACAACACATTTCCAAAAGTCGTTAACTAATGTATCTTGGAATGCAAACAGTAATGTCATTTTTGTATGTCCGGGGCCAAAATACTTTTAACAAACTTATCCTTTGAGATAGCCTTGTGGTAAAATCTCTCGAACGTTGTTGCAGAAGACCAGTCAGCAGCAGCTATGATATCCTCAAGAGGAACACCGCTCTCGGCAGCCATTGATGTTGCGGCAGCCCGCGTAGAATGACCCGTGTACTGAGCATCAATACCTGCATTGGACAATACAGTGCGTATCCAGCGTGATACAGTCTGACTTCCAATAGCCGAGTGTGGTGAGGTATATGACACCAGTAGATGCTGGTCCTTGTGAATACGAGCTGTTCGATTAACGTACTGTTTCAGACTCTCAATAACACAAATCTTTTGGTTTTCTGGTAAGGATGGAAGATAAATCTTTCTTGCTGGGTGATTCGGCCGAGAATTCTTTACATGTTTAGGTATTACAAACTCCCAACCGTTCTCCTTTTGGGATACATAATCCAAGTGCAATGCTGCGAGTTCGTGAGCCCTGGCTGAAGACGTAAGCGCCAACAGGATGGTTGTTTTAAGAGTCAACTCTTTAAGTGAGAGGTTCTCGTTTGGTGCCATATTCTTTAAATGCTCTAATAATGTCCCAACTGACCAGGTTATACATATCTTGGGTGTTGGTGGACGAAGTTCAAAGACACCTTTCATAAAACGGGATAAGAGCGGAAGAGTTCCCAGTGGTTGTCCATCTATTGGATCATGTAGTTGAGATATGCATGATTTGTAAACACCGACCGTTCGGTATGAAAGCTTTCGAGTATGAAACTGTTCAGTCAAAAACTGTAAAACCTCTGCTACAGTGGCTGAAAATGGACATTGATTCCGTGAGACACACCAGCTAGTCCAAAGTCGCCAAGGACCTTCGTATCTCTTTTTCGTTCCTTCTCTCCAGGAGGCCATAAGGATGTCACAAACTTGCGGTGGAAGACCTCCTGCTCGACAACGTTCCCTGAAAGTGGCCATACCGCCAGCTTCATTGTTTTCCACAGAGGGTGTTGCGCTTCCCGGTCGAAGGGTAGATACAGACTCGTTTCCGTCATTGGAAGAAGGGACGGGATGTTGACCAACATCTCCAATAGTAGCGGATACCATGTCTGGCCCGGCCAGTTCGGGGCAATGAGTAGACAGGTTGCCTGATCTTCTCGTATCTTCTTCAGAATGCGGGGAAGCATTACAATTGGCGCATGAATGAACGATGTCCATCTGTTCCATTGCAATGTCATTGCATCGACCTCCATTGCACCCGGGTCTGGGTGCCGGGAAACATAGAGGGGTAGTTGATGATTGAGCCGAGATGCAAACAAGTCGACTTGTGGAGTGTAATACTTTGTGACTATACGTGCGAAGATCGCCTTGTCCAGAGTCCACTCTGTGCGTTCGTTGAAGTGACGAGAAGCCCAGTCCACATCGACACTCTGTACTCCCGGAAGGTGTTGTGCTGTTATCCATGTTCCTTTCTGTTGACAAACGTTCCAAATCTCGACTGCCAAGGCTGCTAAAGTTGAAGACCTGATTCCCCCTCTCTTGTTGACATATGCAACTGCTGTAGAGTTGTCCATCTGCAGACCAATATGTTGCGGCATTTTTACCTGTGTTGTCAGAAAGGACTGGATGGCCAGAAGGGCTGCTTTCATTTCGAGAATGTTGATGTGTTGTCTGGATTCTTGGATGTTCCATCGTCCCCCTGTCATGATTCCGTTGCACTGTGCTCCCCATCCTTGATTGGACGCATCTGTGTAAATGATCAGGTCGAACGCTGGTAGTGAGATTAAACACTTGTTGAACTGATGTATCTGCATCGATATCCACCATTGGAGGTCGGTTAGTGATTCTCCTGTCAGATAGACCTTTGTCTTGTTCGAGAGACGTTTGCTCTGGTGAATGCTGTTGATATGTTGCCTCTGTAGAGCACGATAATGCAAAGGTCCCTGGGATAGACCCACTTGGGAGCAATGGTTCATTCTGCCTAATAAAGCCGAGAGTTCTTTCAGCGTCAGCCAGCGATTCTTGATTACATTCTTGCACTCTATTTGGAGCTTTTGGAGTTTGTCGTTGGGTACCGCTTGTGTCATCTCCCTCGAGTTGATCAAGGATCCCAGAAACTCTAGACACAGTGATGGGGCTTGGGAGTATTTCTCCTGTTTGATGAGAAATCCCAGACGTTGTAGTAGATTGACATTTGGGCTTTGGTCCAGAATAAGCATATCGTCCAGATATATTACAATCCGTATTCCTTGTGTTCGTAGCAATACTATGACCGGTTTCAATAGTTTTGTAAATGTCCTGGGCGCACTGGATAGCCCGAATGGTAGGCATTGGAACTCGTATGTTATTCTTTGGAATACAAACCTCAGATATTTCTTGTGACTGTTGTGCATCGGTACGGAAAAATAGGCGTCTTGGAGATCTAACTTCATCATGAAGTCTCCTGGTTGGATCAGTTTGCGTACTGCTTCCAGAGCTTCCATCTTGAACTTCTGAGATTGGACAAAGCGATTGAGATTCTTTAAATTGAAAATTGGCCTGTCCTTGGACACTTGTTTCACTATGAACAGTGTTCAAGTGAATTGATTTGACTCCTCCTGTACAGCTTTTACTGCACCTTTCGCTTGGAGTTGTAATATGGCTTCTTTTATAGAAGCCAAGTCCTCTTTTGACTTTGCTTTTATTTGTCTCTGTCTCCACTGTATGGGTTGACGAACAAAGGGAATTTTGTACCCTTGAACTATGGATAGAATCCAGGGATTTGATGTAATTAGTGTCCAGTTTGAATAAAATTGTTTGATGCGGCCTGCTACAAGATTGTCCGTTGGTTTGATGTCTTTTAGTGTCGGTAGCTGATAGTCAGCTGCGTTTTGTGTGGTTTCCACGTTTTCCCCAATAGGGTTTGTTGTTGTTTGGATTCTTTCTGAATGAGTTGTTATGTTGCGGTCGGGTAAAACTAGATCGCTGGAAGGATTGGTCACGAAAGGGCTGGTCACGAAAGGACTTGTTGGTTTGAAAACGCCCTCTGGGGGAGAAAAACCTTTGAGGTTTGGTTGATTGTGCCACTAATTTGCGATTGGTATTTGCATGATCGTGTTCCTCTTTAATTACATTATGAAATTGCTCGGGAAACAGGTACTTGTCAGCTGGAATTTGGTCTTTCAGGGTACGCTTACCCACATCGGTTAGGTATTCTGCAAAACGTTTTTGGCGCCAAATGTTTAGACGACAATGTGCATTTCCCAGTAGCACAATAGCATCTTCGATAAGAGCTTTTATGTGGTCAGGATCAGGACCTGAGGGCTCAACCTCGTCTACATCCACTTCCGTTGGCTCCAATGCTTGTAGAGCACTGACAAGTGGTCGAACAACGGAAATGAAGGGTGCTTGTTTGTCAGCTAGTCCTTCATCAAATGTGAACAAATCTTTTGTTCGGGACAGACCATGGACACGTTTGATGTCCTCTTTCATCCCTGTTTGCATTATGGGCGAAACTAGGAAATCAGCTGTTCCTTTAATGTCAGGGTATTGTTCCATGACATTTGTCCAAACTTCTTTGGACAGTTGCTTGGTAAATGCAGATTTGATAAATGAAGTTAATTCTTCAGAAATGGTAGCTTCTGGTGCTGGTGCAAGTACTTGTCGGAACGACTAGAACCGACAAAAGCTGGTGGTGTGTCACTATCGACTACTTTGGCTCTTTTAGGTTGTGGTTGCTCCACAGCGATATTTTCCTGGGAACCATTAGGCTCTGGTGTCATAAAAGCATTTCTTAAAATGTCTGGTAGAGTCCTTTTTAATGTCTCAGTGACTTTGTCCTCGATCAGAGAACTTAGTTGATCTCTTGACACTGGAATAGGTGTCGCTGATGCGTCATCAGAGCGGGTACCCTCAATGAGCATATTGTCTGGTTCCTGCGAGATGGGTACCTGCAGGAAACCAGGTCATTTTAAAACATTGTATGATAATAGGTCAAATATTTGTGTAAAGTACATACTATTATATATATACTATCGAATTTTCCGTACGTATTCGTCGAGCGGGTATTCTAGACGAATAATGCATTTATCTACCTGCAAGATGGGTACCTGCAGGAGATATACTCAAAATATTCCATCGAAATAATCAAAATATTCCATCAGGCGACGTATAACCATAGTACCCTAAATTATTCGATCTAAAACTTTTTAAAATATAAATACAGCTTGCGATATTCAGCACTTACCTTTTCAAAGGTCATTCTTGCATAAAATAGAGAAATTAGTTCCGGATGGATGACTTTTTTGAAGGATTATGAAGCGAATTTAGTGAGTTAAACAAACCGAAGCTTGCCCACGAAAGAAGAGAATGTCAGTACGCATGCGTATGAATTAATTAAAATCGTGGGTTCCAAGCCGTCGCGCGCCGCGAACTGCACCAGTCAAAGGTCGTAGGTTCGAATCCCACCGTGGCCGGGCATATTTTTCAAGCTCGCCCGGTGTGGATATGCACTCAGAGTAACATCGTAAACATATGCACCAGTATTGTGAGTATCAGTCGGAGAAGGAGAAATTGATACCGCTTTCTGAAAAAACTCGCTGGGCCAGTCATGTTAGATAGTACTACAATCGCGATCTTTGGGATACTAGTCCAATGGGTTCGATTCCCACCCTGGTCAGACAAACTTTTCAGCAAATTGACAAACAATAAAATAATGTAAGAATTATACCTTTACGCTTTTGAGTTATGTTCCTGCTGGTTTCAAGATATATTTATGAAAATATCATTGTTATACAGTAAAATAATTGTTCTAAAAAATTGTGTTCGGAAATTTTTGTTTATTTCATCATTCCGCTGATACTGTATGGCGATTTCTTTGACGACTGCAATATATTTCTGAGTCGTTTGTGTGAATTGCTCCTTATTATTAAAATATCCAAAATTAGAACAAAGCCGAACACAATTTTGAAGCTGACGTCTTTAGCTATGTTCTGTGAAAATTTGAGAAAAATTCGTTACAACCCGCAGGAGCACAACTCGTTTAAAAATCAGTAATTGCCGTAAAATTCTTCGGGAGAAAATTGAATTTGAATATTACATTTTCAATGTTTTTCTTATTGCAGCGAAATGTATTTTATTAAAATGTATTTTATTGGTCAGATAGTAGAACTAGTCTAATGCTTTCATGAAAACCAATAAAAAAATTTTAGGCAAAATTAACACTCAAAGGTGTTCTGTAACCTTAATAAAGATGTTAGCCAAAATGCTCAATATCTTGCTCTCTTACGAAGTCCTATTAATCTCACTCAGATCATCGGACAGCTCGGGCAAACCTCTCATAACAACTGAACCTAGCGAGGTTTTGATTGCTATAAATAAACTAGCTGCAACTAAAGCTTCAAGAATTGATAAACTTCCTACAAAAATTTTATAAATTGCAGCTCCGATTATTTCAGAATCACTAGCGGCCATCTTCAATGTATCTTTACATTAAAGACTGGCACTTTCCCAAATGACTTAAAAGTGGCCAAGGTCTCGCCAATCTTTAAAACCGGCGATAGAAAAGATCCTTTCTGTGCTTCCTGTTGTTTCAAAAAATTTCGAAAAGCTAGTTTTTTCACAAGTATACGATGTTTTCTGATCACCAATCCGGTTTTCGTCCTAATCATTCTATAGAAAGTGCCTTGCATAAATCTGCGATGTGCTGGTAGGCTACAAAGATATGGACAAAGGGTATGTCTGTATTGTATGCTGATGATACAAATATAACTGCTCATCATACAAATATTAATAAAGTTGAAGACGTACTTAGTAAAGATTTAGATATCTTGTATAGATGTCTGCAAGCAAATATAGACTAAGTTTAAACGGCTTAAAAAGCGAGTATATGTTAATTGGCTCCAAAGTCCGAATAAACAAGTTGACATCAGATCCTAAGATATTTATCTGAGGACACCGCTTAAAGCGAGTAGTTGTAACAAAATCCCTGTGGCTTATGATTGATGAAAATTTATCGTGGGAAGAACACGTAAATTATGTATCCAAAAAAGTAGCCAAAGGCCTGGGAATGTTAAGACGCATTCGTGATCTGGTGCCAATTAACATGCACGCTATAGTTGACATATACTCTTCTATCATTCTCCCCCATTTTGATTATTGTAGTTCTGTGTGGGATAATTGCAGAAAAGGTTTACGGGATAAGCTTCAAAAATTACAAAATCGAGCAGCTCGAATAATTACTATAGGACAAAAATCTTGTCTAATGAGTAATGTTCAAAGTGTTCCACAAATTAGGCCCATCTTATCTTTCACAGCCATTTAATCGAGCGAATTTAATTCACAGTCATGGTACACGAGGTCACGACTACAATTTTGTTATCCCTAAACCAAACACCAATTTTTTGAAAAATAGTCTCGAATATGATGGAGCAGTGGTATGGAATTCAATACCAATTGAAGTTAGGAATTCCATGCTTCCCTAAAGATATTCAAAAATAAACTGTATAATTAATTTGTTATATGTATATAGCTTTAATTTCTCATTCTCCTTGTTGATATTTCAAATGTCACGGCGCCTGGGAAAATCATCTTATTTTCGATGACAGGCTTCCGTGCCTAAATAAAGTTCACTATATTATAATACTATCACTAAACCAGATGCTTTTTCCAAGGGATTTTCTCAAGTCGTCGTAAGGCGATCTTGCCATTGATTGTAGCACTAAAGAATGCGGATACTTCTTTGCTCCTCGTACACGATACGATTGTTTTTCAAAATTTGTTGGACAAAATACGTTGGGTTCGAATTCTCAGTTTGCAAACATCAGTACGTAACGAACTTATGAGCACCTGCTCAGAGAAACTCATGAGCCGACATAAAGGTGCAGTGTTGCTCAATAACAAATAATTTTTAGACAAACCAGTGCTAGCGGAATCAGCTGCAAATTATGTGGAGAATAATTTAGCGGTTATACAATCTACATAGACACGAAAAAGAGTATTGTCCACCACACCAACAAGAAACTGAAACATGTCTCAAACGGACTCGGACCAGGAAAGGGATTTCCAAGACAGCGTTTCGACAACTTCAACTCATGGGTCTGAATGTTCGGCTGATAATGGGTCAGAAAAGTGAAGAAGAAATGGGACCGTTGATAGAAGAAGCAAAGCAAAGAAGTAATATATATAGCTTTTGAGGAAATGAAAGAAAGCCTTATAAACAGTGGTCTAGATGAGCAATCCGCTAATGACAAAGCTTACTCTAATATTCTGCCTAAACTCCAGAAGGAATTGGAAAATATTTATATGGAGTGTCTCGTGTGGATGAAACAACTAATGAAAAATCATGCAGTATACATAATAATGCAGAGAAAGGATGCGCTTGTAGAAAACAATGATGTTAATCCAGAGGAAGCCATGGAAGCAACTGTTGATAAGAGAAAGTTTCTTATAAAAAGGCTTTTAAATTAGGATTACATTTTGATGAAGAGAATGATGATTATTTAGCTAGACTCGATTAATATAGGTCTAATATATGATTGAAGTCATGTATTCGAACAGTATTCGCATGTAAAAACATATACCAGTATAGACACAGCATGCAACTAAATAGTAAATAAATTGCATGTTTTTCAACAATGCTCAACATATTGTTGACCAAGTGTTGGCTGGTCTCACAAAAATTGGGTCCAGCTAAATTCTGGTAAATGTAAAGAGATTCGAATATCATTCGCGAAACGATTACAAGAGTTTGAGCCATTACACGTTGACGGTAAAGATTTAGAAGTAGTGGAAACGGTAAGACTAGTAGGATTAACAATTAGCAACAACTTGACGTGAAACGCACACATTAGGGAAGTGGTTATAAGAAAGCAGTAAAACGACTATATTTTTTAGTACAATTAAAACGCTCGAAAGTTCCAACAAATGACTTGGTATTGTTCTATACAGCATGTGTAAGGTCTATAATGAATTATGCCGCTCCTGTACGTGTTTCATCATGCCTTACCTCATGAATGAATCAGAGTGGAAAAGTGGGCGATGTATATCATTTTCCCGAAGATCGACAGCACTGGAGAAGGCGGCGGTCGTTCCTGTTCTTGAGCACAATAAACGCTTATGTGACAAACTGTTTAAAGACATCCCTCGCATAAATTGTATAATTTATTTCCATCCAGACACGAAGCGAAGTTTAACCTTCGTCAGAAATGCTTTTTTAATGCTGATCGAACATTTTAAGACTAATAGGGCTAGTATGAGATCCTTTGAACTTCTATGTGCAAATCGTTTTAAATGCAAATAATTAATAATAATTTTAAAATTTGTAGTATAGTAGTAATTGATATAGTGAGTGTAAATTACATAATTCAACCCTTGGTTGCGATGTAATTTTCATTAATAAACCTAACCTAACCATAGATCCAGCTATAACCATTGAACTACGTAACGATAAAACCTAAAAGCATATAACCACATGTATAACCATTACAGTTCCATGATGGCTGTTTCTTTCGGTTAGTCCTCCATTTGTTAATGCAAACTTTTTTGGTGAATAAATAAATAAAAAAAAGATGTTTACAATATCTCAAAACTTTATTACAGATTTTCTTTACTTTCTTGGTTCATTTCAAACAATTTGATTATGCATTCTGTCATATCCATCTTCAGATATATACATGTACAACCATGGTGATTACTTTGTATCTTGACAAATTCCCATGCAGATCATTTCAATGATAAATCCCATATTTTTACTTCTGTCTATTATTAAGCTGTCCCCAAGGTTGTGACGTATTTAATTGGCTCTAATTGACTAATTATAAAACAAGATGGCAGGATGTTTTGGTTTGAAATCATATCTCAAAATTAAGATAGTTTGGGAGAATTTGTAGAAAGGATTCGTAATCTCATGAACATTCTTTAAATTAATTGAATACAAGCTAGTTAGTATACTTCGCCATATCACTGTACTCTTGAACACTACAGTGCAGCTGAGGCATTCTTCAAGTGAACAAAAAGAAAAGTAATTTTAGATTTGAAAAATAGGAAAGAACTGCAGGTATCTGTGTGAGATTTAACAATAGTGGCGTGAAAGTCTAATGGCGTGCGATTCAGCAACGTCACCTACACCTTCTACACTCCATAATCATGATAACCGGCAGGGAATGTCAATGCATTTGCGTGAAACTCTACATGATTATTGTGAGAGCGCATTTAGGATATTGATGCATAGTTATACAATGATGAAGCACAAAGTGTAAGGACAAACAAAAGACATGTCATACTCGCCACAGCGACAAAAGGTCATAAGTCATTCCTATACACAACTATTTTTACACTCGTCAGGTTATCACATAATATACAGTCTGCAAAAGCTATTATTGTTCCAATGCTATAAATCATATGTCTGGATTCATTTTATCAGTGAACAGTTTCGAATGAAACTCAGAGGGTGGTTGTATTTACTAAACTTTACTGCCGTGGTGGTCTCGTTGTTCATACAAATGTTACTACATCTTGTCATCTTCTATACATGTCTGTGCACGCGAACTAAAACTAGGGAGATTCATTACAATCTATCACTTACCAAATATTCTCGGAAAACTAAGGCGGCATTTTTACTGTTCTCGGAGACAGCAAAAAGCAATCAGAGTGTGTGTTAGGTTGTTTGAAGAAATGTAGCAAAACGAATCAAGAGCAGCGACTCTGTTGGCACACTCTGTCAAGTTATTGCGGTGCTTTTTTGAAGCTCTGCATGTGATGTAATTACTCTTTGTTTTGAGTTCATTTATAAACGTTTATCTCTAACAATGATCGATATATATTAAAGAGTATCGTGTTGAGCCTGTCGAGTGCGCTAAAACGATACGGTATTGCCAGTCACTAAGAATGTTAAAAGCAGGTTTTGAAAGCGTTTCCTAGCTTCGCAAAGAAAGATGGAAGTTGCCAGCACGACAAAACCAACACATGTAAAGAAGATGAACTCAGTAAAAGATCGTGATTACAACATAGTTCTGCTTGGCCAGGGAGGCGTTGGGAAATCAGGTAAATTATAGACACGGTTCTTACGAAAACGGGATCCTGTAATTAACTTAAGTGGTCGGTAGTGTGGTATTTTGCTGTTAATCGCGTAATGTATTATCAGTGAGTTGTCATTGAAAGAATCTCGATTATCAGTATTGAACAGTGGCAACTGATCCATGATTCAGTCAACACGTTAGGACAAGCATGGTATGGCTTTTAATTATCATGAACATTGAAATAACTAACTTTGAGATAACTGAAAGGCATGTAGGAATGCGGTATATCATAGGTATACATTCCATGACATTGATGACAATATAGCATGGAAACATCGTATCATCGCGGCAGATCTATATGTAACCAATTTGTTACACATATAAATAGAGATTGAACGATATTTTGACAATATGTTTTTATTGCCAAGAGAATTGAACAACAAGGAGGCTTTAGACTAGGCAAACAAATGAAAACAAAACTGTTAAAGCAGAGCTGCTTCAAACACCATGATATAAATTTACATTCAATATTCATTTTTTAATTGTCAATATACTTCTCGTTATTAGCCTATATGACTCATGTATTTATAAAAAAGACCCTTGTCTATGATCAGACGATTGGTGGCCATTAATAGGAACGCTTTATTTACTTTGTGTCTGAACTACCTGAAAAATACTAAAAATGCCTAACTTTTTCAATTTAACAACAACAGTAATGTTTCACTGATCAATTATTTAATAATGGTGTAACCACCAGCTCACCCGCCGTTGAGATATAGCCATCCATTCCTCCTGCAACAATTGAGCCAAATCATCCAGAGTGCTGTACTTCCAACCGACGATAGACAGATCGCTTTTGCTGGTCCCAAAGGTACTCAATTGGGTTGAGATCTGGCGAGTTCCCAGGCCACATCATTCTCTTTCTGAGGATATGATAGGGCCTTGAAGTTATCGAGAAGTGTGGTGGTTATATATACACCCATTATTAAATCATTGATGAAACAATTTACTGTTGTAGGTTGTGAAAATTTAAATAAAGTCACTCTTGTTAATTTTGAAATTGGGTATTTTTGTATTCAATGGAAGTCTTTCTTTAAAGCACGAATTACCCCATTCTTCAAACAGCATTCAATTTATTTAGAACTTATGATGATATATTTAGGGGGAACTTTCTTTTTGTGCGGTGTTTATAAGCCATAAGACGTATATACCATGCACTGGACAATTGTATACAACAGTTTATTTTGATGATAAGGGTATATTTTGTTTGCGATGTTACTCTGAGTGTATATCCACACCGGGCGAGCTTGAAAAATATGCCCGGCCACGGTGGGAATCGAACTTATACGACCTTTGGAATACTAGCCCAATGCTCTGCCAACTGAGCTACGCGGTCAAGTTGGTTCGAGTGAGTGATATTTCGGAACAGAATCTATATAGTTCCTTCGATACCAATGTAATCAGTAATATGATTTTTTCTGTGTTGGTGTTGTATTCTTACTCGAACCGACCTGACCGCGTAGCTCAGTTGGCAGAGCATTGGGCTAGTATTCCAACGGTCGTAGGTTCGATTCCCACCGTGGCCGGGCATATTTTTCAAGCTCGCCCGGTGTGTATGCATGATATACACTCAGAGTAATATCACAAACATCATATCCACCTGAGTACACAACACCAACACAGAAAAATCAACGGTATATTTGCTGGCCTAGGCCTGGGGCCGTTTGTCCCGTTTTGCAGTTAAACACTAGTTAACTCTTAAATACGCGATTCCGATTGGTTACCTTTTCATTCAACCGGCCCCAGTCTGTGACATCAGAACGCCAGGGATCTTAAATTTACTATCGTGAAAACAGTATTTCGAATTTTCGTGCAGGGCTCTTTGACAGGTTAGTATGATTTTAACATCCTGCAGCCGTAACGAAGGACATTTTATCGAATTCGAACGATGAAATGCATGTTTTAATTAAGAGGCATTTTTTTTCAATTGCCGTTTTATACTAGAGACGCATTATGTGTCTGGACGCATAATCCGTCTTCTACATTATTCGTCTATTATAAAGACGGGACGAATAATCAGACGAACTATCAGCATTTATTGTTCGTCTGGTTATGCGTCCTCAGTATAAAGACGGGCACAAGACGCATTATGCATCTATAGACGAACTATCATCGGTTGTGCGTCTCTTAAGACGAAGAATCGAACATAGGGGCTGCCCGCAGGCTAGTCTTTATACTGAGGACGCATAACCAGACGAACAACAAATGCTTGCCCAAGTTCGTCCAGACGCATAATGCGTCTGCGTCTCTAGTATGAAAACGGCCAATGTCACGTATCTGCCGTGAAAAGTGCTCAAAACCTATCAAAAATCTTTTTGGCATTCCTCTCAAAATTACTTTGTTTTAGCTTTTATTCTCTAGTTTATAGAGTTAGCTACCTTTTTAAATGCATCTTCCGGTTGAGAAACATAAAATAATAGTTAAAAATTGTCAATTAAAATACAATTATCAATGTTGCTTTAAAATGGACGCCATATATTTACAGCAATATAAGCAAAACTTACTGAACTTCAGACATCATTTTCTCTTTGGCGTATCATCTAAAATCTCTTCATTTTAGCATTATTTTACAGATAAAACACTAAACATGGGCTACTTTTTCAGTTTGTTTGCCGATTGAGAAACGTATCGAAAACTAAAAATTTTGAATTTAGTCATAACCTCAAGTGATATATTATACGATTTAGTTTTGAGCGCCTGTTACGTAACATACAAAAAAATCTCCTCTTAATGTTTTCTTAGGCAGTCGATGCATGCAAACCAAGCCATCTCTAATTTGCAGACTAAATAGTAAATACAGCGGATCCCTGCTTCTTCTCGACATTACCGTTAGAGCTACAATCATTGACAAAACACTATAGCTTTGGACAAAATAGCTAAACAGCGTACGTTTACAAATAATCGACCCCCCGCACGCCCCCGTTCAATGTTGTGTGTGGAAATACAGCGACCCAACATTGCTTAGGGTGGGGGAGGGAGGGATTGTGTTATTAAGCTGAACAGTATTTGGAAATGCGCAGATTTGTCTATATTATATCACTGTCCAAAAACCTTTTGTCACTGATTGTAGCTAGTGCAGGGCAATTTAGATAAATTTTCATATTCCTCCCTTTCTATAGCTCTTCTTGTGAGGTTTTCTACAGGCAGGTTTATCCACGAGTACCATCCTACATTAGGTAAGTGGAAAATACTGAAAGATTTAGACGGCATACCTTACATGAGCCAAACTTATTCATATTTTGACTATTATATGCATGTTTGATTTAAATGGCCGTCAACGGTGGCCCGGGCGTGCTTCTCATGCGCCATACACAATCTCGTTCCAAAGAGTAAAAAAATTTCAAACAATGAATTATTGACCCAAAAGTATCCCACAATGCACTATGCCAAGGAAACTTGGTCGTCTGTGCGGAGCTTATTTCTACAGATGAATCCTATGATTAATGAAAACAGGCAGAAGCATGTGTACAATATATGCAGAAAAAGGTGCATACTTTAGCACTGGCGTAGAACCAAGGGGGCTGCAGCCCCTAACATTTTGCACATATACGGTGTGAATGGACTTCCTATTTTATAAGTCATGTGTCATATGCATATATATAGATATAGAAAAAAATATGTAGTCCATTCTAAAAATGATATAGTCCAGTTTCTTTTTTAATACTGTGAGCTTTTTTTCCATCCCTACACTCGACCTACACTCCAACTCTTGAGTTCAATTATCAGCTTCATTTGCTGGCTATGTATATAACTCGCCGAGCCCCTCAGCAAGTCATTCAAACTAAACAAAAAAAACGAATGTGAAACAAATTTTTTTGCAACATTTTTGCTGTACAAGTTCTTCAATTTTGCGCTATATGGGGCATAAGCAGTGCTTAGTTATATATGAGTCTGCTCGATCTTTTGACTGCGCCCGCACTACCCTTACCCTGGAATTCCGTGTTGAGATAGGGGTACTCTTCTATCACCACCGGAGCTTATATAGAGGAAAGTTAAATAACAAACTCGGAAAGTATAAACGACGACACGCGAATAAGAAAATTGAGCCTTCACTATTTGTTCAGCAGTCTGCTTTTACAATCCCTGTTTTACACTCAAATATCCCTTTAGAACTTATTTTTCACCAGTTTTTTTTTAAATTTGTTAAAACAAGTTTTTAAATCTGCTTTACAGAAAGTAAAAATAAATAATTTCAAGTGTTTTAAAATTTTTAATTTTTGAAAACATACGATTTTCAGAATTTCCTTCTACTTTCTTTCCAGATGAACAAATTTCCTTCCAAATTGTATTTCCTTATTTTTCTTTCCATCAGCCATAATTTCCTTTGGGAAGGAAATTTCCTTCCAAGTGGAAGCGCTGGACACGATGGCCTAAAATAAATGTACTTACTTCACATTGGGTTACATTATATACCCTCGATTTCAAGCTATATATTGTATCGTGCTCACTCAAGCAAATTGGGAAATAAAACCTGCTGAATTTTGTTTACTGACATTGTAATTTCTGCTTTTACAGAGTTTAACTGTGAAACGACTTCAGTAATTGATGAAGAAATTGCTGAGCTGAAAATATTCGATACTGCAAACACGGTGAGATGAATATTAAGCAGGTTCAGTTTGTTATAGGGAGTCTTCTCTGCTTTTCACTTCGTAATTTAGCACTTTGGTTTCAGTGCTACGTGGCTGTGTCATGGGCGAGACATACTACTCACTCAGGGGAGAAAGTGTGTGACACGCACTCCATGCGCACTGGCCACACAGCGGCGTGGGAAACCATGGTGTATACAAATTTAAATTACTCGCGCAAACCATAGCTACGCAAAATTACAACTGAATGAAAAACAATCTGTGCAAAAATGTTTCCTTTCATAATATGTGCGAAAAATAATTAATGTGTAAATGTTTTCCGCCGAGACACAAAGGGCACTTTCCATTTAATCGATCAGACTGGTGAGACCAGAATTTCTGCCTCTGTAGTAATGGCAGATCTGGCCCACGTTTCTCAAAAATGGACCTCCTTCTGATTTGATGCAAATTTTCGGGTCCAAACTCCAAATGTTTTGTGTTCCATTTCAACAATTTGATCGTTCTGAAAGGTCCGAACGTACGTGTTGACAGAAAGCGCCCATAATGCTGATATTTAGAAAAGTAACTTACAAATCATTCAATACGACTTATGTGTCATATGTATTAAGGGGCGGACCATTAGAAATCCCGGGAGGGGGGTGTGAAAATTCCCCCAAAAAAATTCGTGCAAAGAAAAATGCCTGGAAAAAAAATTCGTGCAGCCATTACGTCAGAGAAAAAAAATTCGTGCAAGCAAACAGCAAAGTACAAGTAGTCTTGAAAAAAATTCCTGCAGAGACATGAGACTGAAAAAAAAATTCGTGCCGCAAAAATTTTATACCCCCCCTCCCGGGATTTCTAATGGTCCGCCCCTAACTGTATTTGCCCGCATTTGACTGTCATGTTAATTAATATCCTCTTGGGATTTCCTCGAGTTCAAGTGGCTAGCAAATTTAAGCACGTTCTCGTCTGTCATTTTAACAAGAAAAACAACCATCAAGGATGTTTCTATATTTTTGTTCCGTTTCGAGGGGGGCTAAAGTAACAACATGGACCATGGGCATGAGGGAGGGGACATTAAATGATGCAAGTTTTAGTAATTTATTTATTAATCACGTATTGCTTAGACATGTACTTTTGTTGTTTTAGAACGAGCCTCATGTTTACCACAACGAATATCAAGGTTTTGTTGTTGTCTACTCCATCACAGATCGTATGAGTTTTGAAACAGCAAAACAGTTAGTGAAATTAACACGAGAAGTAAAGAAAATGAAGACGCCGGGTGGTTTTACATGTGTTGCCTTAGTAGGAAATAAGATGGACTTAAAACATGAAAGAATTGTAAGCAGGCATGAAGCAAATGACTTTGCAACAGAACACGAGTGTCTATTCATGGAAAGTTCTGCACTGAATAATATTAATGTCGAGCAAGTATTCCATGAAGTCGTGCGACAGATGAGAAAATGCAGGAATTATAAAAAGAAGGACAAGAAAGGAAAGAATTTCTTTTCCAGATAAAATTTTAACCATGCATTATATGTAAATGTTCTTCTTCGATTGCGTCGCCTCAACATTTAGTTTGAATGAAAGTTTATGCGAGTTGGGCCGTAAGTGAAAAAAGGGAGTATTCTTGCGTGTTTAGCCACCTTGCATGGAAATATTGTTATAGCCTTCATAGCAAACAGGCGTTACGCAGGCTAATATTGTTGCGGAAACAAAAATGGCTTCAGAAAGCAAAAAGATTTACCGACAAATTCAGTGACGTATTTTGCTGAAAAGTACATAAATATTTAGTTTGCTTTAGAAACAATTCTTCCTGACCTGCCAGCTTTCGGAAAACGGGGCTGTGATTAATCTGTAGATCAAGAGAATTAAAATTAACGAAATATTACACCTGAATTTCATATTTTTTATTCAAATAATATTTAAAATCAATCACTGCAAAGTCTATGACCATGGCTTGTCGAGAAAATTCTTAGCTTGCCCAAAAATATTCGAAAAGTAGGATGTGATATGTCATACTGGCAAATGAACTGAGAGATTTATTCGAATTTCCTCCTCGGCAAAGGGTTTCCGATTATATACGCGCATATCTCCAGTATAGTGCAGTAGCCTGCAAAGCGTTCCTGCATGGAGGAGAGCAGGAACCCCACGTTTTCGCTAGTGGTTCAGGGCTGCATTTTTTTGACGATATCTGAAGCAAACATGAACCTGCATGGAGAGTTTGAAGTCCAGGTGGAGTATGGAAATTCAGTCAGGGTATGTTAATTAAACTGGACTAAAATCCAATCATTTAAAATGATAATTACAGTATTTCTATGTTTGAGACAGTGGACGTGGTTGCATTAGGAAATGGAACGAGAACAGCCAACTTTTTTCAGCTCAGGCCGAGTGGTAGCTGGGGCTTATATAGCATTTTCGTCATGTACTGACATTTCGAATGCTGGATTTTGTCGTTTGACTATAACCTATATGCAGAAATTTCAGCTCAGTTGAAGCTACCTAATTTTACTTTCCCTTCCAGAGTCGGAGGGTGTTCAATGACCCACACCCCTTCGCTCACGACCTCCGTGCACAAATGCACGCAGTTGTAGCTTCCATGCATGAACTATTGCACCTTTCATTTACCTAAGATCTTCGTTCAATCGTTTTCGTTCAGAGAAAGAGTTCAGTAATTATGAAAACGAAGGCCCTGTTTCCGAACGACGGATCTCAGGTTTTCGTAACAACAGTGTTGTCTGTTGATATAAAAGTAAAAATGACTAACTTCCTGACCAAGGGTGCGTTCTGTGAGTGCAATCCGGATTTGGATCTCCAAATCTGATTATCGATTTTCAGTTTCATTTAACGATTTTCAGTTTCATTTAACGATTTTCAGTTTCATTTAACGATACGATACCTCAACATATGGATTTTTCGGATTCCATCTGAAACTTGATTAGGATGCAACGTTTCTTTTGAGCTTCTGGCCTTCTAGATGTACCTTGACCCGACCGAAAGGTATAGTGGGACAGAAAACTTATTGTAAAAATGGTGGGAAAACAGCAGGCGAATTCCGATTCTCACAATTCGTTCCATTTGTTTAACGAATCCAAAAAATCCGAATCCTAAAAATCCAAATCTAGATTTACAAAAGAAACGCTCTTAGTTAAGGGGCTGTTTACATGATCCCAGTAGCTGTTTACATGATAATTTCATAAAAATACTAGACTATGTCTATTATTTCTATGGATAATTTTGATGTATTGAAATAAATAACTGGGCTTAAACGAAAGTTCAGACGCTGGTTAAAAGAACTCAAATGTTGTCGAGAAATCGATTATACTACGATCTATCACTAGAAAAATAATGCAGTTTTACTAACTGGGACTCATTTCAATACATCAAAATTTTCCCGCCTCATATCTCGTCCCGAAACGCTGGAATTTTTATTAACCTTTCTAACCACGGCAGCATGAATATAGCTGTTTTTATATTAAGAGAAGTTCACTGAACATGCGCTATACACTAAGAAATGCAACCATGGTCATGAAAAGGCACTGAAATAAAAATAGAAGGCCTATAGGTTTAGGCTAGTCGTAGAAAGACTCATCTAGCCGCATATAGGGGACGTAGGAAATGAAAAGATTGAAAACCGTTGTTGTTTTATCTCTACAACGAAACACACACCAAACAGGGGTCAGGGAAGTCACTGGTATTTATTTATGACAACAATACAGATCTCTGGCAGCTCATGCATTTCCATCCCGATGGCCGGTTTTCACTAAGATGAGTGGGTCTTCATCTTATTTTCACTTGAGATTAAACGAATAAATGATCAGAAAGAAACTGCCAGTCTTTTTCAAGAGGTTGATGTACAATGGTACTAATATACAAATTAATGATGTTTGGGTGTACTAGGACATATTAATATAGGTAATCATGCGATGGCGAGTACAATTAGGGATTAATAGTACGAGTGATGTTTGGAAATTTTGCCAAAATTGGACGAGCCGCCGGGGCGAGTCCAATTTGGCAAATTTCCAAACATCACGAGTACTATTAATCCCTAATTGTACGAGCAACATCGCAGGATTACTTGTTTATTATTAGCATGACAAATTTGGATACGTACTTCTCAATGTCAACATCATATTCTCTCGCCAAAGCCCAGTCCTGCCAGACTTTCAATCAAAATTTGGTGCTTTTGTTTGTATTTTCATTTAGTTCTTTTGTTAAAGCAAAATTTGGTGCTTTTGTTCGTATTTTCATCTAGTTCCTCCACGGCAATTTCATTTCACGCTTGTGTTTAAAGTACGTTTCCGCCATTTTGTTTGTTTTGGGAAAATCATTAATTGTACTGCAGTACAATTAATGAAATAATTGTACTCCTCTCAACCAATCGGCATCCAGTAATTTTGTCATGCTAATAATAAAAAGAGTTATTGAGTATCGTCTAATCCCACCTTTAACAAGGTTTTAATGATGTTTCTTGGGACTAGACAATGCGATGCGTTATCCGGAAACAATTAATTTATGACGTCATAATTAGACTCGAGTTCGTGCGAACATCACATGGCAACCCAAAAACGACAAGCATGCACGACCGCAGAAAGAAGAAAAAAGTTAGCGATTTTTGCCACATTATGCGCTGTAGCTGTTCTTGTCATCATTTTAGTGGTTGTCCTTCTGACAGTGTTAAAATCTGAAAATGATGAAGAAGAGGAACATACATTTGGTAAGTAGTACGCGCGCGATCGCTGGTACAAAACCTGCGCTGTTGTCACTAGAAGGTTACGTTACTAACGTATTTTTGTAACGAGCCTGTCTAAACCGCGTTGTTGATTAATATAAGATTAAAACCTTTCATATATATATGCTTGTGACAAACATGAAAGTGTTATACAGTATAAGCAAATGAGCCAGAACATCGTTCTTTTGTGAACGTGGTCGACCTCAGATGCAAACGACGCTGCAAGCCGTGCATATATAAGAAAAAGAGAAAGCAGCCTTCAAGCATGTATTGTTGCTATACGTGTATAAAGTGGGTAGTTGTAGTTCGACAGACCAAATCTGAACACAGATCTCTTATATTCCAGTTACTGGTCATGATAAGTAATAAGTTGAAAATATAAAAAATATCATCAAAATTTCAAGCCACAATAGTCCTAATTCAACAAATTATTTTAACAATAAGTATTTGCCATAATTATAACTAGGAAGGCAGTTAAAGACCCGGGCAAACTAGGAAACACTGTTGCAGAAACATCTGGAGATCTTGATGTTCCCACAATGTATCCATGCATGTTTACTTGTCAACCCTCGAGAGTATTGTTGCAGAAATAAAATTTCCCTTTTGCGATTAAATGAATTAAATGCAACATCGTTTTCTTTCTCAAATGCAATTTGTCTCACAAACATTATACACCGATTAGCTTATGAGGTTATTTAATTTATTCTACTGGAAATGCTGGTTTATATGACAAATGTTTTCTGGCTAAGTGAACACGGTGTGTTCATAGTTGTATGCCTAGCCTGCGAACAGGCTCTCAAGCTGAATTGAGAGCCTGCATCGATGACTAATGAATTTGAATATCTGCGTCTCAAATCGTGACGCGAAATTCTCATTGGTCAGATGCTATAATTTATATTATTCCGCTGAGCTCTATATAAGTCAACTGCTAGCACTATGCATAAAAAACACATTAACTGATCAAATTGGTCCTGGCCATCTTATCTCAAAGCACGAAATGTTCTGTTTTGAGAAAACAGTATTTAAAACATTTAAACTTTTGCTTCAATATCTTATATTTCGAAAAACAGTATAAACTGTACGGTCTAAATTTAGTTTGCATGGTCTAAATTTAGTTTGCACGAAAGTTGTAAACAACACCATATAAGCACGGGCAATAGGACAGGTGTAGTGTTGTTAAATAAAAAGTTAGAAATGGTATTGTACTTACCCATGTATTATAATTATGTTTAGAAGATCAGAATATTCATAACTTCTTATTTTGTTTCATAAATAGTTCTTTAATATTCGAAACAAATTCCACATCTACTTTGTCTGCCGCCGCCATGTTTACTCGCCCCAATCTACATACTACACGGCATTGCCGCCCCTCCTGGCAAGATAATAAGCAAGCGAGAAAAATTAAGGAGAAAATAAGAGGGTAGGAACAATGTGGGCGTTTCGTGGGCGTTTCATCGCTCTGGGCGAATCAGCTTTCACAATCTTGTATCACATGACTAATTCAAATCGTCATAGGCGGGAAGCAGCATTACACGTCATCCCTACGTCAAATAAAACGTTATAAAACGCGTCGTGGATACGTTTGTGCCATATATGGAAGTTATGGATACGTTTGTGCCATATATGGAAGTGTCACTGCATCCAGCTTATGACAACGATGTTCCTACCCTCTTATTTTCTCCTTAATTTTTCTTGCTTATTATTTTGCCAGGAGGGGCGGCAATGCCGTGCAGCATGTAGATTGGGACGAGTAAACATGGCGATGGCAGACGAAGCAGATATGGAATTTGTTTCGAATATTAAAGAACTATTTATGAAACAAAATAAGGATTTATGAATATTCTGATCTTCTAAACATAATTATAATACATGGGTAAGTACAATACCATTTCTAACTTTTTATTTAACAACACTACACCTGTCCTATTGCCCGTGGCCAACCCAAGTATTTAAGTCAAGATTTGGAACGAGTCCAGAAACGCGTATTTGGAATTATTTATCCCCATTTGAAATATGAGGAAGCTTTAAATCTCAGTGGAATTGAACATCTTTCCACTCATCATCAAAACGGCTGCAAGAAATTGTTTAATGCAATTATCAAAGATTCTAATCACAGTCTACATTACCTCTTGCCGCCAAGGCCTAACTCCATCCACGAATTAGTAATAGTTTTATTATGGCATCGAGTAGCAAAACGGAATAGGTTTTACTCTTCATTTACTTATTTTATATTCTTAATAACTTTTGCATGCTTATTATAAACAGACACTTTTGACAATTTAGTTAATTAATTATAATACTTTGATATATTTCAAAACTCTAATTTTAATAATTTTTAATTGTAAGTATAATACGCAATTCAGCACATGGCTGCAATGTATTTACCATTTCTAAATAAAGTATATAAAGTATATATATAAATCATTCCGAGGCATTACGAAACATTACGAGCGTCTTACGATGGTTCACGACGTCTACGAAGAGGTACGAAGGTATAAGACAACAACGTTTACGATGAAACCTCAAGAAAAACAACCGCGGGAAGCAAATTTTTCCTTTTTTTAAACCTTAATATTAAATTTGGGCAGAGTTTTAAACGTAGATATTCACAAGTTAGGGTAAAATATTGATAAATTAAAGACCCTGGCTAGCCCTTTTAGCTTTTCACGATTCACGACACGCATATTAATCACGATTCACGGAATAGTATTTCTTCAAATCACGAATCACGAAGCACGAATAATTGCTAATCACGAATCACGAAAATTCCCTTGCCCTCCCTCGCCTAAGGAGAGCACGGAAATGTATGTTTTGGCCTGGGATGAGCGCAGAGATGAAGGAGTTTATAGGTCGTGCGAGACATGTCGAAGGTATGAGACCAGACAACAGAAAGAAACGCTGATGAGCCACGAGATAACAGAGCGACCATGGGAAAAAGTTGGCGCAGATATCTTTACCATTGGTGATAACAACTACCTCGTGTTGGTAGATTACTACTCAAATTTCTGGGAAATCAACCGTCTCGAAGATACCAAAACCAGCGCATGTATCAGAAAGATAAAAGGTCATTTTGCCAGGAATGGAATTCCGGATATCTTTGTCAGCGATAGTGGTAGCCAGTTTGTCTCTGAGAGATTTGGAAACTTTGCAAAATTGTGGGGTTTCGAACATCGTGTGAGCAGCCCCGGACACCAGCAAGTCAATGGAAAGGCAGAATCTGCTGTAAAATCTGCAAAGAAGCTTATACGTAAAGTGGTTGAAACTGGAAATGATCCGTACCTGGCGATTTTGGCACATAGAAATACACCCACTGAAGAAATGGAGTCCAGCTCAGCCCAAAGACTACTCGGTAGACGATGCAAAACCCTTCTGCCGACCACTACTGAATTACTCAGGCCGGAGAGTATTCCAAATACTGTACAAAGATTATGAAACAGAGGAAAAAACGAAACGACAAACAAGCGGATTACTACAACGTAGGTGCTAAAAATCTGTTGCCTCTTGAAGAGGGAGATACTGTGCGAATGCGGCCATTTAGGCTTGGACAGAAATTATGGGATCGAGCAACGGTTAAACGAAGATATGATGAACGGTCGTACGAGGTAGAGACTGATAGGGGGAATTTCCGACGAAATAGAGTAGATATTAAGAAGACGACGGAACGTAATAAACACCCGACTGAGGGGAGACCACAGATTGGTGGACGGCAGCCCGCTATTGAGATCCAGCCAAAAATACCAGAAGTGACAGGAAACGACCGACATACCGTTCCAGTGACTACGAGTAACAATGACGGCCAACGATGCAGCGACGGGTATCAATGAAGATCAGTACAAAGCGCAAGAGCATCCGATGTCACAAGAGTCAAGTAGACCAAGACGAGTGATAAAGAAACCCGATTACTTAAAAGACTACACCATGAACTGGATAAACAGTGAACGATTATTATGATCCTATTCATTAACTTTAACTTTTCTGAACTTACTTAATTAGTGCTCTAATTTAAAGGAAATGGAAAAAAAAAGAACAACAGTTTTACATTTATAACATAGGTAGTTTTAGTATATTCATTATCTAGTTCTTTTATAAGAGAAAGGATGTTACGTAATTAATCATGTGACATGTGTCACATGACTTTGTCCCCGAGCCGGAGGCGCGAAGCGCCGTGCGAGGGTACTAATTCCCCCCGACTATTTACACCAGGGGAAACGAAAGCATTAGCCAAGTCTAAAGTTCATCAAATATCACGGGCGTGACCAACGAACCTTGAGTGGGTGGTCATCCTCACTGATCTCAAAAATATGGCGGACAACAACAACAACAACAATACATTTATTTGTACTCGAACATTACAATAACAACACACTAGTATACTCAGATAATTACAATTGATGAGTACAAGCCACTTGAAATAACCATAGGGGCTAGACGAGTCAGGTGACCTTTATTAGACAAAAAATCTAAGTGAATGGGTTTGGTCAATTTTATGCAATATTTTATAGGAAAGCAAACAAGAAACAAGAAACAAAACACCAACAAATAGCAAACAAATAGAAAAAAATATATAGAAAAAAAAGCCAAAATATCTTCATCATTTTAAATTTTTGAATTAATAAGAAGCAATTATATGTTCTTTAAGTTTTCTTTTAAAGGTTTTTAGACACAGAGACTTCAAAGATTCATCGACAGAGCTCCAAACTTTAGGTCCACAAAATCTAATATTAAATATTCCGTAATTTGTACGAACTGGTTGGATAGCATATGCATTTGTAAACGCTAAACGGGTTGTATAGTCATGGTGGTTATTTTTAATCAAGGTAAAAAAACCACAAAAATCAGCCGGGAGGTTACCCGAACCATACTGAAACATGAATGATGCTGTATTGACATAAACTAGATCCAGAATTTTTAGCAAGTTTAATGCCTTAAATATTGGCGAAGTGTGCTCACGGAAACCGGAAAATGTCATTATCCTCATAGCCTTCTTTTTCAGGATCAATAATGGGTGCAAGTTACTTTTGTATGTATGTCCCCATACCAAGACAGCGTACATAAGAAATGGGTAGATTACTGAGTAATAAACTTGAATGAGTATATCAATTGAAACAAAATCACGAAGTTTAAATAATATGCCAATACCTTTGGATATTTTTTTGCATAACTCATAGACATGATCCTTCCAGTTCAAGTTACAATGCTTTCTGTTCGAAAGATAAGATAAAAACCATTTTTGTACTATTCCTCGTATTCCACTGTTTTCAAGTTTTTTGAGTAATATTGTATGATTTACAGTATCGAAAGCTTTACTCAAATCAAGAAAGATACCACATGAGTACATTTTGTTTTCTACTGCTTTTTGAATTTTATCTGCAATAAGTAAGATGGCATGTGTTGTAGAGTGGTTTGAACGGAAACCAAATTGGCCTTGGAAAATTACTTGGTTCTTTTCTAGAAACATTACAAGTCTCTTATACATTAATTTTTCTAAAATTTTTTAAAAACTGAGAGTAATGAAATAGGTCGATAATTTGATACAACCGACTTAGAACCTTTCTTATAGATTGGTATCACTCTAGCTAATTTAAATTGATCAGGCACAACCCCTGTTAGAAATGAGCAATTAATGAGATAAGCAAGTGGGCCGGATAAGAGAAATCTCAAATTTTTTAACAATTTAGTAGGAATACTAAATGGCCCAACAGACTTAGATGGGTTAAGATTATTAATTTCCTCTTCCACTTCCAAAGTGCTTGCAGGAGAAAGGAAAAAACTATGACATAATGATTTGTTAAGAAATTTCTCAAATGAAATATCTATTATGGGTATGGTATTAGCTATATTTGAACCAATATTAGAAAAATAGTTGTTAAAGGCATTAGCAATTGATTTTGGATTAGTCAGTTTTAAATTTTCTACTTCCAATAAATTTGGGACTAAATAAGGCTGATGTTTTAGTGTTATCAGCTGTTTAATACCTTTCCAGGTATTTTTTATATTATATTTATTATTTGCAAAATATTTATTATAATGGGATTTTTTGCTAACAAGTATAAGATGTTTTAGTTTATTTCTATAAGTTTTAAACTTAGAAAAATAATAATCATTTTTAGATTTAATATACAATTCATAAAGTTTATTCTTTTTAGCAATAGAAACTCTAATACCATTTGTAATCCAAGGTTTGGCTAATATCCGAATTTCTTTCTTTGATAATTTATGCAGAGGTGCATTCCTATTAATAATATCGGATACTTTATTGTGAAATAATTCGAACGTAAGATTCACATCTTCAGTTTCAGGCAGAACATCCTCCCAATTAACCTGCCGCACTTTCTCCACAAGCATTTCTTCATTAAAATTAGAATAATCTCTTCGATAAATTGTGGGATTAGAGGAAGTACAAGCAAACTTATTAAGTATTAGAAAATTAGGAAAATGGTCAGTTATATCACAAATTAAATTTCCACTTAATGTCTCATGTTCAATAGAGTTAAAATAAATATTATCAATTAAGGTTGCTGAATGATCAGTTATTCGAGTTGGTTGAGTTATATAAGGCTGAAAACAGTATGGTCCCAGATTACCAAGAAATTCATGCGTTAAAGGATGTGATTCATAATTTAGTAAATTAATATTAAAATCACCCATTATTATGCAATATTTTTTTTCATTTGAGATTTTTTCCATTATTTTTGTATAATAACTAATAAAATTTTCAAGTTTACTATTAGGATGTCTGTAAATTACTGAACAGACTAGATTGCTTTGGTTTGCATTATGAAGCTCTATCGATAAACATTCAAAATCTGTGGTTGTATTGCAGAAATCGTCACGAAAATGATATTCACAGTCCTTTCTAATATAGAAACCAACTCCACCTGCATTTGAATAACTAGGTTGGGATATAAAGTTATACCCAGCAATATTTATATTGGCAGTAGGTTCCTTATTCAAAGTAAACTTAATTTCACTGAGACCAATAATGTTAAAATTGTGTTTGAGATCAGATAGTAGAAATGAAAAAGCATCATGATTAGCTGATAAGCTTCTTACATTAAAGTGCATAACAGAAAAGGACTTGGACTTAGAGATTAGTTTATCTATGCCCTCACTATTTTTAAATTCATCGATTGAGTAATAGTCACAATTAACTTGACCAAATAAATTATTATCTATATCCCATCCAGCTAAATTAGTTATATTATTTAGACTAGAAGTTAGTTCAAGCCTAGGTAAATTTTCTAGTCCACCCAACATGAGAAAAGTTCAGATACTTATCTTGGTAAACCAATTAGATCTTGGTTGCAAGATATAACATTTGCAGGTTCATCTCCATTTTTTCTTAGATAAATGCGACCATTTTGGGACCATATGTACTTGTAATTATGCTCTTTCTTAAACTTTAAGCATTCATTAAATAGGTTCTGTTTCTTGGGGTGAGGCTTTCAGATATATAAATGTGATTAACTGATGTTCTTGAAAGACAAATATCTCGAGTAGATTTATCTTTAAAATGCCTTCTACCGCCATAAAATAGGTCCTTTGTGTTTCTTCTTACAAATTTGACAATAATTTTTGGATGTTGATCAACAGCATTTAATACAGCCCCAGCTCTTGGCCTTGGCCCCAGCTCTTGGGCCGGCTCTCGCCCATATATTTCACTAATCTGGCGAACCCTCGCCCATACATTGTTTATCTGGCGAACTCTCGCCCATACATTGTTTATCTAGCAAACTCTCACCTATACATTGGTCATTGGTTATCCAGAAAACTCTCGCCCATATAATTTTACCTGGCGAAGTCTCCCCCATATATTTGACTAATCCGGCGAACTCTCGCCCATACATTGTTGATATGGCGAACTCTCGCACATATATTTTATCTGGCGAACCCTAGCCCATATATTTTATCTGGCGAACTCTCGCCCATATATTTTATATGGCGAACTCTCGCCCATATATTTTATCTGGCAAATTAATTCTCGCCCATATATTTGATACGGCGAACTCTCGCCCATATATTTTATCTGCCGAATTAATTAACTCTTGCCCATATATTTTATCTGGCGAATTAACTCCCGCCCATATATTTTATCTGGCGAATTCTCGCCCATATATTTTATCTGGCGAACTCTCGCCAATGCACACATACACACATACATACACACATACACACGTCTAAGCCGCCACCAGCGCCTATAAAAGGTATTGAACGCAAGGAATGGCTAAAACTGCTAGGTGTTACTTTCGAGGACGATGTGTGCTGCTGGGACCTGCACGTTAATGGCTTGTTGTCGAAGGCCGGAAGCCGAATGTATATTTTAAGAGTATGTAGAAGGTATGGATATCGGAAGGAACATCTCAGCTATCTTTTTGACTCAATAATACTATCGTTTTTTTTATACGGTATTGAAATTTGGGGCTCAGCTCTTCAAAAGAAATATTTAGATCAGTAATTGGCCAAAAGCTGTCGTGAATACCCTGTCACAATTGTTGTAAATTGTTGTATTGTTAGATCTATAGTGCATTTAGAGTTATATTGCATCTACGGTTTTCATGTCTGTTTTAGTCTGTTTTAATATGGTTTAACAGTTGTTTGTGCTGGAAAACGATACATGTAAGGATGGCTCGGAATGTGTTATAGTCATTATAGTATTTAGATATGTAATTTATATTGTGACGAAGTTTATAAAATTAAAAAAAAAAAAAAAAAAAAAAAA